ACCCAGGCGGAGCAGCTGGCTCAGGAACTGGCCTGGTGCGAGGAGCAGCTAGAACTGGGCCTCAAGATGCAGAGACCCAGCCTGCGGGCTCTCAAGACAGCAGCCCACTCAGCCCACGTGCAGCCTGTAGGTGAGGCCACCAGAAAGAAGAGCCGAAGGGTCTGCAGGCCCCGCCTAGAAAGGGGAACCAAGGCCACCCTGGACATTCCAGATGAAGAGTTTAGGTTCAATTTCTTTTAGCCTCTCCTCCCATCTTGCAACTGCCCCCCTTCCCCCCACAGGGTGTAGGGGTTTGCCTGGAGTGCACTTAGAGGGATGTGGGTTTGGTCTGTGCCTGGAGGGTCAGTTAACCTGGTGCCATGGCTGCTGGGCAGATGTGAGGCCAGCATATTGAATACTGTCTGACAAGCACAAGGCCCCATTTGTAGGTTTTCAGATGAATGGTTCCTGCTGCTAGAAGAGGGAGGTCTATTTAAAAGGCTTCTGCAGTCAACTGGTGTCAGCATGTGGCAGGAACGTCTTGCTCAGTTTTCAGGGTTAGACTACGTGGCTGAGGGTGAGGGGGAAGCTGCATAATTGCACATTGGTGCTCACAGGAAAGGCATGCTGTTACACTGGATGGTGCTTAAGTAAAGAAAAAAATAGTAAAAATAAAAACAGAAAGAAACAAAACAATAAAAATGAAAAAAAAAGTAAAGTGGAATGATGGTTGCCAGGAGCTAGGGGAGAGGGAAATGGGAGTTGTTTCATGGGTATAGAGTTTTGCAAGATGAAGTTCTGGAGATTGGATGTAGAACAATGTAAATATCCTTAACACTACTGAACTTGTACACTTCAAAATAGTTAAGATGGTAAATTTTATGTAATGTGTATTTCATTACAATTAAAAGTACATGAGCCTAGCCAGTGTGGCTCAGTGGTTGAGCGTTGACCGATGAACCAAGTGGTCCCCGGTATGATTCATAGTCAAGGCACATGCCTGAGTTGCAGACTCTATCCCCAGTGGGGGGCGTGCAGGAGGCAGCTGATCAATGATTCTGTTTCATCGAGATTTCTCTTTCTCCCTCTCCCTTCCTCTCTGAAGCCAATAAAAATCTTTAAAAAAATAAAAAGTGAAAAAAAAGTGTACAATTAAATGTTTTTTTAGTGTACTTAGAGTTATACAACCATCACCACAATCAGTTTTAGAACACTTTCATAACCCTCAAAAGAAACCCCATACCTCTTTTCAGTCATTGCCCTTTTCTTCCTCCTCCTACCTCAGCCCCAGGCAACCACTAATCTACTTTTTGTCTCTATGGATTTGCCTATTCTACACACGTCATACAAATGAAGTCATACAATATGCAAGTGGCTTCTTTCACTTAGCATACTATTTTCAAGGCTCTTGCCATTGGTTGAGATGACAGAGTCAGGAGGGTATTTGAGCCAGGGAAATTCCAGAGATCTGTTTGGATGGTCTACATTTGAGATGCCTTATGAGACATCCATGTAAACATGTCAAACAGGCCATAGTATATATGAGTCTGGTGTTCAGGAGAGGTCTGGCATAAAAGCCCCAATCAGTGGATCTTCCAAAAAATATGCAATAATTAAGGCTATGATACAAGATGAAGTCACTTAAGGAGACAATATTGTCTACAAAATTAAGGGGGCCAGGATCATCCCAAGGATACTCTAATATTTGGAAATTGGATAAAGATGATTAGCCAGAGATGTCAGAAAAACCCAAGAGAGTTGAGAGCAAGAGACTGTGGAATGTGCTGGGCAATCACAGGAGAGGATAGGGAAGTAAATGTTGCTTTGGCAAGATTATTACTTATCTTGTTGATAAGTAATCTTGTTGATAAGTAATAATCTGGTTGAGCAGTCTCAGAGATATGGGAGTGACAGAAGCCAAACTGAATTAAGTTAAATATGATCTGGGACATGAAGAAATGTAGCATGAAGAAGGCCAGAAGACTGGCTTTGTTGAGGAGCATAGCAATGGAATCCTCCATGGATGATAACACAGTACATGAAACCATCTGGCCACCAGTAGGGGAACAGCTGAACAGTGCTACATTTATTCCATGGAATGCCATGAATCAGTTTAAAAGGATAAATAAAACAGATGTCCACTATATATAACTTTTGAAAGAGAGAGACAGACACATCGACTTGTTGTTCCACTTATTTATGCACTCATTGGTTGATTCTCGTATGTGTCCTAAACTGGGACTGAACCCTTAACCTTAGTGTAATGGGAGGACGCTATAATCAACTGAGCTACCTGGGGAGGGCAAAACACCAATTTTATTTTGTAAATAAAGAGCTGGGTGGGAAAATTCCATCCCTGTTTTCTCAAAGCCAAGGGTGGATAGTCTCAGCTGTCAAGGTCTCCAAGATCGCCTCCGCCCGTGGGTTCCCACCCTGTCTTCTCTCTAGGAGTCTGGGAGAACAAGGTATTAACAGAACGCGGCCACTCTAGCCCACCTCGGAGGTCCAAGTCTCGTTTGCCCAGAACGTTAACTCCTCTAGCTCTCCAAGCTGAACCAAAGTGGGAAATCCTCGGCCCTTTCTCACTTAGCCAGGGGAAGGCTCCCTCGCCCACCCCTCTTCATTTCCCTCAAACACTCATGATCACGCGAAGCTTCCTCCCCTCTCTGCGCCCTCCTAGGAGAACGCAGTTTTCATTCGCGTTGTTCCAAAACCCCAAAACCGGAACAAGGAGGGCTATGGCTTCACCCTCCAGCCAGGATGTGTCATTTCCGGTGCCAGGCTCCCTCCCCCGGAAGTGAGACCTGATGTAAACAAGGGAGCCGGGTGTCAAGGCCCTGGAGGTCAGAAAGCTGTGCCGCGGGCGGCACCCAGACCTGGGCCTAGGATCGGGAGGCGGGAGCGGAGGTCAGGTGAGTACTGGTGGCGGGGAGCTGGGACATAACTCCAGAACTGGTCGGAGTTTGCGGGGTGGGCTGGGAGGCCTTTTGAGCAAGGGTCTTGGTGGTTGACGGGATCTGGGACAGCGATCTTTAATGGGTGCTTGGTGTTGGAAAGAGTATGAGTGCTATCATGGACATGAAGAAATGCTGGGGAGGGGGCGCTTTGTGCGATGCATCCCTGGGCAAGGTTCTTGGGTGGTGCGGATCTTTGAAATGGGAGTCCAAAAAAAGGGTGATCTTGGAAGGTGGAGCTGTCAAAAGAATGGGTCTTTGCGAGTAAGGTGGTACCGGGCAAGAAAGGAGGTTTGGGCTCTTGGGGGATGGAGAAGGGTATGCCTGGGCAAAGTTCCTGGGGAGATCAGGGTTTGAAG